TGAACTGAATTATCTTGCTAGTTACCGGAACGACTATTTACGGCCGAATGTAAATCAACATTTTTAGGAGAATGGACACTATTTACATTACGGGTACATTCTTCTGGGTTCTGAACTTAAAGAGATTCAGGAGAGTTTGCTAGCGATTGCGGATTTGTAAAGTCAAGGATTCTCTCAGCATCGGACATAATTTTATAACCTTTAGGATTATGATGAGTTCGAAATCTTGACGCTAGTAGTCTGCAACTACCTCTTCCTGCTTTTCGATGACACAGTATTCTCTCTTGACATCCTTGAAAATCTGTTTTTTTCTTATCCTATTAGAGAAAGCTAAAGACTCACTGGCGCCTACAGATGTGTTGAGCTTGAGTGTGATCGGTAAGTATATAACATGGTAACTTCGTTTCAGTCTTGCGCACGCATATGGTGCATGTCTCATATTACTGGCTTTAAGCGGATTAAACTGAATACTTTTTATGGAATGTGCCTTATTGCATTGCTGGTTCGTCTTATTCTTTCAAACATCTCTAAAGCAACACGTTCAAGGAAATTATTTGTTTCGTTTATCTGATCTGGAGTTCCTGAGAGGTTGAGGTTTTTAACATACTTAAGGGGATTAAGAATGTTCATATCAACTTGCAACATTTTATGTCATTCATATGGTTGCAGTGGCCATTATTATTATTCTTTACCAATACAATCTTCAACATGTTTGAAATGGTGAGAATTGGAATAAGATTATCCACTTCTGGATAAACAGAGTAGCTCGACTCGTTAAAACTGCCGGGAATCGTGTCGGTAATAGTATTAGATCGTGTCCTTGCCTTCGTTTCGCTGGACACCTAAATGTAGGGGCTTTCAAGTTTTTTCGAAGCGTGGTTTGGAAAAGGTTAGTGGAGGATGAATTGAAAAAAGTGTTGAAATAGAAACATGGGTGCAAAATTCAGAATGCAGGGCTCAAGGTCATCCAAAATACATAGCCCATGTTTGAAACAAGTGTGGCAGTGTCGTGACCGTTAATGAAGATGGCAGGAAGATCTTAACAGAGATGTATTATGCAAGTATATGTATAGAGGTGAAATAGAATAAAAATGTGCACACTGGATCAATTTAATTTAGAGATCACACGGAAAGATAGTTTCCCATAATAAGGCAATCTAGAACTGTCAATATTCAGTATCAGATGGTCGAAATGGGTAGTGTATTTGGCACATATACAAACTTGAAGCTTGCATGGGTTGAAGTTGGAAAGTGCAGCAATATTTAGTTTTAAAGAAGGTTAATACCATCTAGAATTAATGTGATAATTTACTACGAAAATATCTGAAGCAGTTATTCAGGTGAAAATACCGACCAAGAACTAGGACTGACTCACCAAATTGAACAGGTGATACCGGAAATAAAATGCGTTTTAGCGCCCAAACACAATTTGAAGGATAGTGCATAAAAAAGTGTATAAAGTCCCGAGTATAATGTCTCTTTATGTATGGTCATATATTTTTGAATGTCAGATAGAGGTCTGAATTAAAGAAATGAATACAGTAAGTATGTGGGTTGCAGCATCCAAACACAATATAACACACAGTACGCAATATATGAGATACAATTCTTCGTCATTAATGATTATATAGGGTTTGAAAGTGATAAATTATGGTTCTGTCATATGGTAATAATGGACATGTAACTACGTACAGATGATTTGAATATGCTAAACTGAGATCTTATCATGCAGTACAAAATATACATTTTATATGTAGATGATTCTAAATGAAGTTGTCTTTCTTTATTTAAAGAGAAAATAATCCGTCCAACTCTGAGAGAATCCCATAAAAGATGCAAGCCTCGGTTCGAAAGTAACATCAAGTTCGTAGCATGTGGTATGTCATCTGCATTTGTGAGATTTCCGCTTTAGTTACTCGTTGAAGCCATATCCGAATTCCTTGCAACTGAAGAAACTTTGATCGACCAATCACGACGAAAAAATAACGCACAGGTCTACAGAAGCCTTCGTGAAACTGGTTGATACGTTAGTACTGCTATGAGCCATGTTCGTTAAAGAGGAAGATCAAAGAACACGTTACGTCGGAAATAGAAGCAGATATGGAAAGGATGAATAACAACTGGAAGGAGCTGGAAAGTATTGCATAGGACAGGGTTGGATGGAAAATGATGATGAGCGGCCTTCACGAGGAGTAACAGGCGTAAATAAGTAAGTAAGTAAATAAGTAAGTCTCTAATCTGTTTTGCTCTCAAGAGCAGCAAACTACAAGAACAGAAAATGTTCGTGTGTTGCTAGCCAGCTACTTGCTGTGAGCAATTGCTGGCAATTGTCTGATGGTCATCCTCATTTATTCGGTCGTTGTCGGGGTGACATTGCAGCTTTGAGGATAGTGTGGTTATGGTCCGATGCCACTACAACATCTCCAGGGAGATTCGTGTGTGCAGCTTCGATGTCCGATGGGCTCAGTGCGGCTGGCCTATTCAAGAGTCCCTCGAAGTATTCTTCCCATCTGTTCTCGAATCTTAGTGATTCTCTTGCCTTTTTTTTCCTGGTTGGTCTCTGTGGTTTACTATAGTTACCTGACAGGTTCTTCGTTGATTCATATAGTTGTTTCATATTTCTTTCCGTCGTAGCTTTATCCGCTGCCGTTTCTAAGTGTTCCACATATTTCTGCTTGTCGGTTCTAATGTTTCTCTTCACTCTCTTGTTTGCTTCTGTGTATTCAGCTTGTGCCTTGACTTTCTCTGTCCTTGTTCGGCTGTTGTTAATTGCTATCTTCTTGTTCTCCCTTTCTTGAATCCTGCCTTGGGTTTTGATAGAGATCCATTCCATCTGATGATGTTTCTTGCGGCCCAGAACTTCCTGATACGTGGAAGTTAGTACTTCTTTGATCCCTTTCCAGTTGTCCCCCATAGTAGTTTCTTCCTGTTTGAGTAAATCTTGTAAGGCTTTGAACCTGTTGTTGAGAGCTATCTTGAATTCTCTGAGTTTACCAGTATCTTGAAGGCAGGCTGTATTTGAACCTTTATAATGCTGTTTTCTTAGTTGTTCAATGCTTCTTTAGCTTCAGTTTCATCTTGACAGCTACCAGATGATGATCTGAAGCCATGTCAGCCCTTCTCCTTGTTCCCTCGTCTTCCGTGGACATTCTGGATTTTTCAGTGATGCAAAAATGATCGATCTGATTCTCTGTAGTATGATCCGGTGAGTCCTATGTAGCTTTGTGTATGTGTTTGTGGGGGAATATTGTGCAACCTATAACTATTTTGCTGAATGCATGTATACTTGTGAATCTGGTTCCTTTCTCCCTATCCATGCTTTGATGATCCTGGGTTCATAAGATTCCCTTCCTATAAGTGCTTTTTATGCTTCTTTGTATAGCATCATGTCAACTCATTATGTGTGTAGAGCATTTTCTTCGTAACCAGAGTACAGCGGTATTTCTTCCGAAGCTAATCTTTCCTGTCCAACTTGGGTCATATGGGTTTCACTTATTTCAAGCACTTCTAGGTTGTATCTTTTCATTCATGATTCTGCTTGAATGATTTTCCCGGTCTCTCGTATTGTGGGGACATTCCATCTGCTTATGTTCATTGTTGATTTGGTTGTCAGAAGGGGCGTCGTCCTTCTGTCTTTCAAATAATATCAACTTTTACCATTCGGGCATATTTTGCATAGTTTAAATTGTTTTTCTTTTTATAGTCTTTTTAGTGAAGTTGTTCACCCAACACCCAACGCTCCTTCTTTCCCCTAGCTTAGAGCTGGCAGTTATCCTGGATGAGCTTCAGGAGGAGTTAATCTCAGGGTTTTCAAATTTAACTCGTGCTGAAATCACTGTATTCTTTAAACCCAACGAGTTTGTCGTTGGTAAACACCCTTCCGATTTCTTGCTAGATTTGGCAGAACCATAACGGACCATGAATTACAATATAGTAAAAAACGAAATAGTACAATAAAAATTCATCGTTCTTTTCTTGCGCAAGTGCATGTCGAAATACACTCGTACGGGCGTAAAAACACGAAGCGGGCAAAAAATGGAAAATAAACTCATGCTCACGTAATAGCGTAAAAAAGGATCTCCACAATATGGTTTATTGTTTCTTAAAATAGAATTATAAATATATAAGCATATTAAATTTTTTTTAATTGTATACAGTACAAGGGAAAATCGAGATGATATAATATGTTAACTTGTATCTTACGTGCAAAAACCGTTCAAATGTTCTGGAAATCTTACTCTTCCAGAACGCGTTGTTTTAAGTTTATTTTCTGATACTGTTGAAGTATCATCGTGTGTTGGCTGTCGGTTGATGTATTATTAGTGTGGGAGTCGTGTCGTGCGATTGTATCGAAGGAAAATCGATGTGAATAGTGTCTCCTTCTAAATACGCTAGTTTCAGGCGATTGATGCTGATGCTATCGTTGGTTCCGTCCTTATTGATTATATAGTACTCGGGTTCGCGATGAACAGTTTTGAAGGGTCCTTCGTACGCAGATTCGAGAGGTTGTCGATGTGAGTCTCGGCGAACGAAGACGTGTGCACTATATCTTAAGTCAGGTTGAACAAAAATATTAGTTGATTGCGCTCGAGTGGAAACAGGTTTAACTGAACGCATTGCGTCTGTAAGCCTGCTCGTGTAGGAGGTTAGATCCATGTTCATTAAAAAAGATGAAGGATCCACGAATTCTCCTGGAAGTCGAGGTGTCGTTCCATAAACCAGTTGGGCGACAGTGTATCCAGTGTCAGCTTTCACTGCATCGCGAATACCTAGTAAGAGGAGTGGAAGAACGTCAGTTCACTGAGAAATGTTTGCGGACGACGGTGAAAGTGTTCTGCTAACCCGTTCGCTTGTGAGTGGTAGGCAAACGTTCGGAAGCGAGTGATCTCTAATTGTGCGGTCAGACAACGGAAGATTTCAGATTTGAACTGGCATCGACGATCTGTAGTGATGGTTGAAGGGTAGCCAAAGTTTGCAACTGTTATGCCCCGATAAGAATAATGAGTGGTAAATTTTGGGACCCATTTGTGGACCAATACTAAACGTATATTTTACCGTATAAATTGTTGATTAACTAAAAGATTTTTATCCATTAAATGTTTAAATACTTCAATGGCAGTCGATTGACTAACTTATCGATAAAAATGTGTAAATAAACTTTCACTGTAATATCGCTTATATACATATAATTGATTTATGTATACGTTTTGAACTGTGTTTGTGTGATCTCTCGTTTCTGGCTGTTGCCAGAACATATTTTCTCATTCCAAGCCTGGACTTCTCCCTCTAGTTGGTGGGGCTGGGACCCATCAATAGCTAGCTTGCTGGACTTTGGTTACCACTTCTTTGTTCTGGTTTGCAGATTAAGTGAACTCGCGATAACTTCAGAATCTAGCAGAAACCCATCGTTCGACGAAGGCGTGGGTCAGCAGTGATTTCCTTGATAGGTACTCCTTCTGGCCATCGACTGAAACGACTTACGCAGGTTAAGAGATAAGAGTATCCACTCGAATCTGGTAAAGGTCCTACAAAAATCAAGATGAACATGGTCGAAACAAGCGTTAGAAGTTTTTAATAAGTCTAAGGGACGTTTAGTTTGTCCAATAATCTTAGATTTCCGACAGCTTACACAGGAGTGTGCCAACTCCCTCACGTCTTTATTCATACCAGGCCAGCAAAACCGTTCTGCTATAAGCTTGGTGGTTGCGCGAACACCTGGATGAGAACGTTTGTGCAATGTATTGAAGACGTCGCGTCGATAATGTTTAGGCACGATTGGGCGATCCCTAACCGTAGATGTGTCACACAGAAAGATTTTCTTACCTGTCCCCATCTGTCTGATGCGCAGCTTAAAAGTTGTTGACGATAACTCTTGCTGAAGATCAGTAACTTCTTTGTGAAGCTGAGAGAGTTTCAGAAGGTCGATTATTTGGAAACTGTTTAAGGAAGTTATGCGAGACAAGGCGTCTGCAACTACATTGTTTGCTTCAGAAATGTGTAGAATATCTGAAACTGCGAAATGTAGTCCGGTTGTCGAGACTCATGAGCTGAGTACTTTTCTGAAGAGGAGCTTAAAGAGAAAGTAAGAGGTTTATGGTCAGTGAAAAGGGTGAATTCAAGGCCTTCGACGGAGTGTTGAAAATGCCGTACAGCACAATACATAGCTAGGAGTTCCCTACCGCATGTGCTGTACCTCGATTCGGTGTCCAGCAACTGTCTAGAGAAAAATTCCGAAGGTTGCCAGCAGTTATTAACCCATTGTTGTAAGACTCCTCCGATTGCTGAGTCGGATGCGTCTACTGCGATGCTAATGTGTGCTTGAGTGTCCTGATGCGCAAGCATTGTTGCTTTAGCGATAAGTTCCTTAATTGTGGAGAATGCTTTTCGCGCGTTGTCGTTCAAATTAATGAATTTCGCATTTCCACGAAGTTGATCGGTAAGAGGCTTCATTAGTAATGCGCATTTCGGTATGAATCGTCTATAGAAACTTACAAGGTCGTTAAACGTGCGTAATTGCTTGACAGTGGTCGGTTCTGGGTAATCCAGAACGGCCGCCACTTTGGTTCTAAGGTGTTGGTTTACACGAGCATAGAAAGTGTGTCCTAGGAAGTCTAATGATTCGACATTTTTGAACGTTTATAGTAATGCCATGTTTTTGTAGTCGGTCGGAAACAAGATCCAGATGCTGGTGAAGGGATTCTGTTTCCAGACTTGTTATTAGGCATTCATCAACATATGCGTGTACGAAGTTAAGACCTCGAAAGACATCGTCTATGAACCTTTGGAAGGTTTGTGCAGCGTTTCTTAGACTGAAAGGCATTCGCGAAAATTCGTAGAGTCCGAAGGGAGCTACGATAGCGGTTTTTTGAACATCGTCATTAGCCATAGGGACTTGTTTATACACTATAACGAAATCGATTTTCGAATAAACGGTTGCACCTTTCAAGGTAGCTGTCAATCGGGAATATGAGGCAACGGGTAACGATCGAAGATGGTTTTCGCATTCAATCGCCGATAGTCGCCAGTTGGACGCCAATCGTTATTATCCTTTTTAGGGACCATGTGCAACAGAGATGCCCATGGGCTGTTTGAAGGTCTTATGATACCTAAATCTATCATGTGGTCGAAATCGGTTTTCGCCAACCTTAACTTTTCGGAGGCTAATCAGCGTGCTTCAGAGAATGCAGGTGGTCCTGTAGTCGTGATGTGATATGTAACGTTGCTGGGTACACACGGCAATTTCGGTTGCGTTTGGTATATCCCAGAATACTTATCGAGTATTGGTTGATAGAAAGGGTCTATCGTGTTCTTAATTGTGACTGGAGATAATCTGCAACCGGAAAAAGAAGTTACGCAAGCAGATAAATTAGTGTTTCCGTCTACTAGCCTCCGTTTTTGCGTATCGATGATTAAATTGTGGTGCTGTAGCAGGTTTATAAAAATGACTAGCATGGAAATATCTGCAACAGCGAAAATCCAGTGAATGGGTTTGCGTAAACCCACGTTAAGATAAACGTACCTTGCTGGAAGAACGCTAACTTCTGCGCCAGTATCGACGAGGTAGCGAACTTTCGTTATCACATCTGTGACGCCTATGTTCTCCGGCTACGGTTACCGTTAACGCATGCCGACTTGGAAGTTTTTCGAATTGTTTTTCGTGTCGGCCGATTTAGAGTTAGGAGAACTGTAGGATTTTCTGCAATTTCTGGAGGACTTTCCATACTGGTTATGATATCAGCACCAGCCGGAGTTATCAGTCTCCCGTGGTCTAGAGACAGATCGAATACATGAAGTGGTTCTTCGCGGGGCGTGTGACCGTTTACGGTCTTTACTAAATTTAAGCTAACGTGTAAGTGTATGACGTAACTCTGTTATGTCATTCTGGTCGTTCGAGGCTTTTTTAGCTAAAAAAACCTCGGCATTGGATTTTGTGATTTCTAAAGTGCGGTCGGCAGATGCAGCCAGCTCGTCTAAGGCATTGTTTTGAAACGAGACCAGCACAGCTTGCACCTGCTGAGGAAATTTGGAGAAGAAAAATTGTTTGAATAGGTCATCATCGAAGGTTCTTTGACCAATTATCTCTCTTATTCTTTGCAACATGTCTGTCGCAGAATCGCGTTGCAGGTCAATGTTAAGGAGCTGGTCTAACCTTTGTCGATCGGTCAGGTCTCCGCGTCTAGGGACAGATCGTTTAAGTGTTTCGTAGGGTTCCGAAACATCACTAGTTAACATGCTAGGTGTTACGTACCTGTTGAATTAGCTGTGCTAGTGCCTTGACTACTGTGAGAATTGTGCACGTGTGTCGTTCATGTCATGCTCATATAAGTCGACTTCTGCGTAGCAGAACCAGGCTTCAATGTTGCCTGGCCAGAAGGGCATTAATTGAAAGGAAAGTGAGGACATAGTCTTCAGCTCAATTAACGTGGGTGTCTGTTTCGTCATGGTGCAATACCAAGTACGAGAATGAACGAGTGGAAAAAATATATCAAAAACACGGCAGAAAATATCACAATATACGAAAAATTATTATATGGCAATAATATACAGAATTCTACATAGGAACAGACTCACAGTTTACAATTGGATGTACCAGGTTACGTCGGGCTCTTTGAATATTGGATATTGAATGGACTTGTAATTGTTGCCAATTTGCGCTCGTTTGTGTTGTCCGAGTTTGTCAATTTTAAACTTTTCGGTATGTTAAGTTGTTGAATTGTAATTCGAGATTGTGGTAGTTTCTTGTGACTGTTTTGATGATAGGGTGATTATTAGTAACCACGTGGTTGTCAAAATTTCTGTTATTTCCAACTTAGCTACCAGAATTCTGATTCCTCTGTATGTATTAAGTATACAAACTAAAGTGCTGAAATACGATGGAGATAATATGGCTTAAAACTGTAAGCAAACCAAGTATGTATTTGGTAAACGTGTTAGCTTTGCGTTGGAATGCTTCGTCAAGGAGTGAAATCTGAATGCATCCTGTAAAACCTTGGAAACGATTAGGAAATTTGTAGTGGCATTAGACCATAACCACACAATCCTCAAAGCTGAATACGAGATTATTCGGAGAATAGATATGCAATACTTAAAGCGGAGAAATACCTAACGACGGAGAAGGCGTGTGGAATGTATTGAATGAGTTGGAGTTGATCGAATGGCATGTCTCGGGCATGCAGGCGTGATCCCTGTTATCTTATATCTTTTAACCATACTAAATATATTGTCCTATCTCTAGCCTAAGCTTGTTCTCCATCGTGTATTGGTAATTGTTATGATCCAATGAGTTGATGTAGACGATGATGTAACTACCGCGTAAGATCTTATAAATTAGGCAGTTATATCATGGCAAGTCTAATTTTAGGATTAGGTCTATTATTAGAGCAGTACTAATGTCATAGTAGACCATAATTGTACAAATCTCATTAAAGACCTCTCAGTCCGTTTAAAATTTAAATCAAACTCAGGAAGTAGACCAGTCTATGTTAACCTGTCAAAAAAGCTCTCGTTTAGACAATTGATTACGTATCAAGGTCTCTGTTTTCACTTTAATTTACTTCGGTCAAAGTACTCGAAAGAGTATCGTTTTTGTTTCTAAAGTAGTTTGTTTTTATTGTACTTGTTAGCACTTTTGTTGCTAACAATTTGCAGTTTCCCACTTTTGTCTCTGGGTGTTATCGTATCTAATTTCTTTTTGAAAACTTCTGTTTGGTGGCTGGACCTGCAAGAAAACCATATGCCAACACCCAGGCTGTCGATACATCGTTGAAAGCGGCATGCAGTGCGACGAGTGCAAAGGATAATAATACGAAGTTTGTACGAATATAACGCCTGGGGCTTTCAAACTGTCTAGTAAAAATGTTTACGTGTGGTTTTATTAGTCGTGCTTCACGGATGGAACAACTTGCTAACCGAGGGCATTTTGATGGTAAATGCTGCTAAAAATTGTATTAGCAAACGAGGTGGAGATACATCAGACAGTACTTGCCATGACGATACACAAATCAATGTGGAGTCACCTCAACTATGGTCAGTAACAGTTGACTTACAGTTGGTCAGCTACAACCTGGGACTACCTCACTCCCTATCCTTAGTTCAGGTGTTGACGCAGGCTAGTCCTGAAGCAACAACTTGCATTTAGAGGTGGATAAATGCATCCCAAACATCCTGGCATTGTTGTTTAGTGCCGCCAAAAGACTCTGCATTTTATCAGCGCCTTCACTAAACATAATTATGTCATCTGCGTATTCTAAGTCGATAAGTGGACCTCTTAAAAGGAGACCAATGCCCGAGAATTCAGTCGACGAGAACATTATTTCCATCAGTAGGTCTATGATGAAGTTGGACAAAAATGGAGATAGTGGACAGTCTTGATGGATACCACTTGAGATTGCAAAATCAGATGACAGTTCGCCATAAGCTCTTACTCGACTGGTAGTGTTCGAGTAAAGAGCCTTCACAAGGTTTATGTACTTCTGAGGTGCGCCTTTCAATGATAGACATTGCCAGAGCCTGATTTTCAAGTGTTTGCAGTTCACGAGTCTTAGTTAGGCGGTCTACCGAGTCAAATGCTGCTTTTAAGTCAAGAAAGACCACCATCGTCGGACGCCAATAAGTATGCCTGTGTTCTAGAACCTGACGAATGGTGAATATGTGGTCGATGCAGCCACGACCAGGTCTGAAGCCAGCTTGATTTTCTCGTGTTTGCAGTTCACGAGTCTTAGTTAGGCGTCTGATTATTGTTGAGGCTAGTATTTTAGATACTATATTTGTTAAACTAATCCCTCTGGTTGTCACAAGATGATTTTGATCCTTTCTTGTATATTGGAACGATCAGTGATTGCGACCAGTCAGATGGAATAACGTCTAATTCTTAGATCTTAGCTAAAATATTAGTCAACCTAACCGCTAAAATTGGACCGCCATCCTTAAAGACTTCTGGAGCCAATCCATCTGGACCAGCTGCTCTTCCTCGTTTCAGATTAACTATAGCCTTTTGAACTTCTGCTAGTGTTGGTGGACCTACTTCAATGTTCCATTCACACTGTCTGGGAATGGACGGTAGTTGTAGAGTCACTGAAGGCCAGCTGAACTGTTCCCTAAAGTGTTCCACCCATCGTTCTAAACGTCTGGACTGGGAGTAGATGAGAGTATCGTCTTTTTCCGATATAATATCACTTACACTTGACTTATTAGTTCCAGTTTCTTTTATTAGTCTGTAGAGCTGTCTTGTGTTCCCTATGGCCGCCGCCTTTTCCATCTCTTTTGCTTTCGTTGCCCACCACTGCTCACGGTCGTTTCATAGACTTTTAACCTAGATCTGATTTGTTGTCGCTCTTCATCATGTTCGGAACCTGATGGAACGAGTTTGCAAGAATCCATCAGTGTGATAGACTTTGAAGAAATCCATTGGTTCTTTGTAACCTTGTGGTTTAAATCACTAACAGAGGTCACTGCTGTTTCCACAGCTGTTTGTATAGCTTCCCAAACAACATCTGGGTTAGCCTTGTTCTCAAAACTACCTAATTGTGACCTCAGTTGTTCCTGGAACCTACTTTTGGTTTTCTCGCTACTCAGTTCAGTTCTAATGGGTCTTTTTACTGAGGCTTTTTTGCGTCCAGTGAGGCGCAAGCAGATACGTGCCCGTACTAGGGCATGGTCGGAGTCCAAGCAGGTACTCCAGAATGAGCGACAATCTTCTACCGACCCTCTCCAACGATGACTGGTGGCAATATGGTCTATTTGAGTCCATCGTTGGTTTGGTGTAGGGGGTCGCCATGTTAGACGACGTCTCTCCTTATGCTTAAAATTTGTGTTTGCTAAAAATAAACGATTGTCTGAGCACAGTTGCAGCAGACGATCACCATTATCTGTTCTTTGTGCCGGTATACTATAATACCCACCTACATGCCTTTCTGTTTGGTTTAGACTACCTATCTGGGCATTAAAGTCACCTGCTACGAGTACTATGTCTGAACGTTTAGCTTTCTGAAGAAGTTCAGATAGCTTTCTGTAAAATTCATCTTTCATTTCATCTGAGCTGCAGTCGGTGGGAGCGTAGGCAGAAACGACAAAAAGGCAACGACGTGTGTCCCTATCCTTCCGAGTTCTTACGGAGCCGTTTAGCCGAACAGCACACAAACGACTGTTAACGGGGATCCACTCTAACAGTGCTTGTTCAGCCCTCATGCTTAGCGCTATCCCTACTCCTGCCAGTCCACGAGAGCTGGCCATCGGGTCACCAGATACACGGAGGGTGTATCTCGTTGGCTCTCCGTTTTGCCGAGGTGAGGTCAAGTGAATGACCACACTGGGATCCTGTATGCGTGTTTCGGAGACACAGCATACATCAATGGTACGAGATTCTAGGGTTCTAGCCAAGGAAGCCTGCTAACCGATTTGACATAGGGTGCGTACGTTGAAGGCTCCAATGTGTAGTTTGGAGCGAGGTTTCAGTCGACCTGGGACAGTGTTTTGAGCACTAGAATCGTTGGGTATGGTGAAACTTGAGGGGGAAGCTGAAAAAGGAAGTTTAGAGGTGAAAGTCGATGTAGGAGGAATAATAGGAAGTGAAGACGGAGGTTGATTATGAATACAGTGATCTTGAGTGCTGTTAGAAGTATGAGGGCGGTTATCACTTCCCGGTTGTCCACACCGTGGAAGGGTTCTTCTGGAGGTACCTGAAAACGAAATCGAATTAGAAGTGGTCTTAGTGACCGGGGAGCGTGACCGCAGTGCCCAAGGGATAACTGCTTGAGGTCGGTCGCACACGACCTTCTTATGGGCAATTTTTGTGTTAGCTCCGTACTTATTGAGACCTTACCGCCGGAGACGGATATCCGTGGGATAAGACGAGGTGTGCATTTTTAGGGTCGACCTTTTCTAACTCCACCCCTCCTTGTGGGAAGGCAGCATCGCTGTCATGCTGGTTGTCTGAAGGAAACACCTTACTGCTGTCACACCTCTGTACAGTCAGCAGTACGACTTCACCTTCGGACCTTGGGTTTGTTGCTTTTAATCTTACCGCTCATCAACCGACCTTTCTGAAGTGGTAGAACCTTAAGGAACGGTTGTTCCAATCAGTATAGCTCGGTTGCTTCATCACGATAGGCAAGCCCAACCACCACGTCAAGGTAGCAACAACGGTCGGGGAGGTTAGTATTTAAGATGCTATATTAGTCAAAATGATCCCTTTGTGTTTGTCACGGGACGATTTTGACCCCTTCTTATGTATCAGGACAAAAAATGATTGAGACCAGTCAGATGGGATTACGTCCAACTCCCAGATTTTAGATAAAATATTAGTCAACCTAACCTCTAGGATTGGACCACCATACTTTAACACCTCTGGAGCCAATCCATCCATGGAAAAGCAATATGGCTTTAGAGTGGGTTATTCATGTCTCACTAACTTATTAGTGGCTCGTGAAAGTTGGTACACTCTGAAAGACCAAAAGTCACCTATAGGTGTAGCCTACATTGACTTCGGCAAGGCTGTGGACAAAGTTCCTCACAACCGACTGCGATATAAGTTAGGGAATGTCGGAGTCAGTCGCAATTTATTAATTTGGATAAAAGACTTCCTAGTTGGGCACCGACAAATAGTACGAGTGAACTCCAAGTTGTCCAGCTGGGAGACTGTTCTCAACGGAGTGCCTCAGGGTACAGTTTGGGGGCCAGTGTTATTCCTCTTGTATGTAAATGACTCCCTTCCTCCCCTATCATCATCCGTTTTGTTATATGCCGAAGATGTTGAGATATGGAGAGCGATAAAAAGCAAAGGTGATAGCTTAGAACTCCCAAATGACTTGGAGAAACTATCTGAATGGTCTCAAACTTGTCAGTTGCAGATGAATACTTCCAAGTGTATCGTGAATCATATTGGTCATCAAGGTACAGATATGTACATGATGAATAACACTGAACTACCTGTTGACCAAACACACAATGACTTAGGAGTTACTGTCAGCCAAGACTTAGAAACTACTGCACACTGCCGTGCAATAGCCGCCAAAGGTTTTAGAGCCTCATCGTTAATACGTAGGGCCTTCAGCCATGTTGACGCTGAAACCTTTTTGACTTTGTATACAGTATTCGTGCGTTTCAAACCTGAGTATTTCCTACTAGCGGCTAGCCCCTGCTTAAGAAAGACAGTGAGCTTTTGGAAAAGGTTCAGAAAACACCAACTAAGCTGATTCCGGAAATAGCGAAGTTCCCGTTTGATGCTCGACTAGCTAAACTAAACTTATTCCGATTGTTATATCGGAGGACCAGAAGTGACGTGATAACAGTTTTCAAATTACTTAGTGATAAATTTGCATCTAATATGGCCTCATTTTTCTTGTTTTCTAAAACAAAGTTTACAAGTACACTCCAAAAAGTTCACAAACTCAAGACAGATTACTTGTCAGTTGACTATAGACTTTCCCATCGAATCATCAACGAGTGGGATTCATTACCTCAACTCAACCTCAACTGCCAGAACTAACACAGGCCACTTAGCCTCCTGTCCTTTACAAACTGAGACTGAACTTGTGAAAGCTTTCCATAACAATAGGTATTAAAAAACCTTTGTTACGATAATAGCATTATAGACCTGATGCTTTGCTGTTTTAGAGTCCATTCTCAGCAGCAGAGCAATATAAGTGTATTGTACATCGTAGTTGCTTCTTCGGTTGGCGATCTCCATACATCATATCACTTGTTTTCGTCATACTAAACAGCTGCTTATACTTGAAAGAGCTTTGAAGTTAACGTTTCTAATTTTTCCTTGATCAGACTTTTAATTCATATCGAAGTAGCTTCACTAAAGTCTCATCTGATATTTTTCAGGTCGTACGCCTAGTCATACAATGACTGGTCAACGTCGCTCCATCAAGAAAAATTCCACTAGAAACTCAGATCCTATTCCGGAAGAGAGGTAAAGAGTTTTACTACGCTCCACATTTCTAGAACGTTCGTCAATCCATCAGCTTTGAGTCCTCATTTATTCTGTCCAATATGTCAAGAGGCTTTCTGTAACCCCCAACGTGCTCCTTGTGGTCATAGTTTTTGCAAGAATGTAAGTTTGTAAATAAATGCTTTTTATGTTTATACTTATCGTACTGCAGGTTCCTTTTGTTTCGTAAAGTTCTATCCTCGTAATGCTATTGTATTTCATTTATTCGTTTCCTGCCAGGTTCATTGAAAAGAAATGTACAGGTAGTGATAAAGTACGATATTCACTGGTTTCATAATAATATAGTAGTCAATCTGATGCACCTCTGTTATGACAGCTTGTGATGTAATGAAAAAGTACGGTAACATATTACTGATTTCGGCCTCCAACCGGAAACCGCTTCAATTAGAAAGTAATCCTAACTCTAACATCACTCGGTTGTCCAATTACGTACAAGTGATAATTTAGACGCGCATAATTACTTGTTTAATTTCGTTTTTTTTACTATCTGTGGCCAGTAACTTAAGTAAGACGAACACAATTCACGTGAACGAAGAATACTCTTTTCAATAATTTCTCATCAGGTTTTACAGTTATATATCCAAATTAATAATCTATAAAATTGGCCAGATTTAAGGCAGAGTACATAATTTAAAATTGTAACATGTGAATCAAGAATTGTTGTTTGTCATACAAAATCAAATCAAATCGTTAATGTTGGGATGACTAATGTGAAGTGTTAACTTGAATCACTTTCTAAGCGAAATCAAATTGTGCGATAAATGATCATAATAGATGTAGTCAACATGGGGTAAGAGAGAAAGAGAATACTGTAATTACAAATCAGAAATTACGAAATATGTAAAATATGAATTAGGTCAGATATAGTGGATACTGAATAAATTCCTCAAAAAGGTTATCAAGTGTAATAATAATAATAATAATAATAATAATAATAATAATAGGGATGATAATAACAATGGTAAAGATAATAATAATAATGTTGGTCTAACATCAATCGGCTCATGATCTCAACCAAAAACTTATCAATCTCCACAACCCCTAAAAACTGATGATGATAATAATAATAATAATATTTGGGACATAAAATGAACACTAATCAAATTACGTCACCATATTATAAGGTTGATTATTAACTATTTGGTCAGGCTACATATTTCTTTTGGATGTAAAGCTTTGACTTTTTGACCTGAGTAGCAACATCTAATTATGATCGTCCTGAGCACGCACAATGATATGCCTATAACGACTACAGCACAGATTGGCAGTCAGTGATTTAATATACGGATGCCAGTTTCTAACCTACTGAAATCGAAGCAGAAATCGATGATCATACGCGCCCCAACTAACTAGGATTATGATGAATCACACACTAGTAACTCTTCCCCGTATTTCGAAACAAATACTATCGTTTATTTAATAGCCCTACTACACACGAACCATGTTTCTAGGACATTTATTATTTCTACCCCAATGCGTGTACTTCATTTTCATTGATAAGATTCGATACCAATTACAACATACAAAAATTTCGATAAGTTATGTCGCTTTTCAAAAACCACACAGAATTTCACTGCTCGAATAGAAAATAAGTGTTAGCTCAAAATTACTAATGTCTGACAATATAACTGACTAACCGAAATTAGTAAACTACTCATCAAACATTTGGTAATGTTTTACTTGAATCCTCCCATTGATGTTTAGGACTGAAATTGATCAGTCTCTTATGGGCATATGTGCATACTGTGCGTTGTTGTTTATGATACTTTATTAAGATGATAAAGGTAGTTTCCTGTCAAAGTACCAGTCCTTTTTGACTTATGTTTTTAGTTCCTAAAAATCGAATTTTAGTTCTCCGTTTTTAGATTTACTTGGATACAAAATGTATGTTATTGAGGTTCCAGCACATTTAATCCTTGTCTTATAAGTGTTACATCACTTAGTTCGCAGTATTTTTAGATCCACATTTTTGACCCGAAAGTCGAACATTTGTGACGGTAACCTTCGTCTCAACCTCACTATTGTGACACAGTGAAGTAGTTCTTATGTCTAAACAAATTGATTTACATCTAGCATTTAATATCTATTCTTTGCACATAACAAAATATCGTCTGTACACCAGATAATTCTTACCAAACGGTAAATATCTTCAAAGTTACTTTTATATATTTTCAGTGTATTGAGCCCTGGATTCAAAATAATCCTACCTGTCCGGTGGACCGTAAGTCGATTCCAAAAGGATCAATGCATCATGATTTTATTGTGGAAAATATAATAGGTGATTATATGGTAAGTTATTTTGTTACATTTGGTTCAAAGCATCATACGGTTTCTATTTTTGCTTCAATGTATTGTTTTGTTCCGTATTCCTGATGATTAGATTGTCTTTTCTTTCAGACTTGAAATGAAACCAATGAGAAAGTTATGTGCTGTGAATTTAATTAAGATAGACAGCAAAATTCCATCGGAAACTAAACTAATTCATTGTTGATTCGCTAATTACATATCCATATGTATACTTATTGTATATGAGTAGGTTCATGTAGAGTGAATTTCTAACATGATGCCCATCGGTTAAAGCCCAGACATCTCAACCATTAAGCCTGTTTAAAATTTTTCATATAACTATTTTGATTCATGCTTTAAATAGGTTCACAAAAATCGGAATATTGATGTAATTATATAAGAAAAACTACTGTAAAATAGCTTTCAAAGGAATGTAAATGAATCGTACAATTTTGTGCAAACGTGGGAAAACTTACAAGATTTGACCTATATACCAGACATTCTCTTCGGCAGTTTGTAAATCATTTATTTATGCGTTGTTGATCGATCATCAACTTTTTAACTCAAGAAAAGTAATCTTAATGTAACATGAAAACTTATTTAAAGTATCCAAATGATCTCAATGTCAGTATAACTTACGTTACAGAAATCACTCGCCACCCTTCAAAATTTAGTGTTTAGCGCTTAATTTCATAAATTCTCTTGATACTTCTAAGTAGTATATATCTACTTCCACTGTCTTTCCTTTATCCTTCATTCACTAATAATCACTGGTTAAGTTTATCTCGTAGACTTTTCAGTTTACACTAATGTTTCCCCTGTTCGAAACGCTTTTACGTGAGTTGAAAGAAGTCTCGATCCAGTAGGGTTTACTATTGATTGATAATTTTTATTTCTCATTTTTATGGTCGAAAATCCTTTTCATGTCCCACTAATTTTTCACCGACTATTTGATATACACTCCTAACATTTCCATCTTTGAATTAATCATAAAGTTCTGGTTTTCATGTGTTATGTCACTTCTAGATCTATACATGCTTCCAATTACGAATATTTGGGACTAAATTACGAGTTATCTGGGAGTCATCTGTTAGATGGTTATTACTGTAGAATCTATTTAGATTCACTGTTAAGTTAGGGGTAGTCATCATCAGGTTAGGAAGTATTTCTACTTTTGTCTAAAGTTTGGTACTTAAAATAAATGATCATCAGAGTATGGTTATATCAAGCCGTCAATTACCCATTCCGCTGGTTAGGATTAGGAAAGGACTGTTTTAGTATTTTCTGTTCGAATTAGTCTGGTTAATTGGGTCCATTTTAATCCTGTCTGAAACTTTCAGTTCCATTTAGTCAACGTATGATCGATTGTCCGTTGGAATTTTGTTCAGAAGTGGGATGATGAATATTTGCTATGTAGCCTATGACAACTCAATAGATCAGTCTTACTAATCATGTTAGATCCTGCTAGTGATGAATTTTGTATCCTTTGTACGAGTTCCGGAGACGTATTCACGAATGCCAAGATTTTGGAGTTCTGGCTAGTGCGTCTGATTTAAAACAGCGCCTGAATATTAAAATCTCTGTGTGTTATGGAAAATAACTCCAAAAGACTAGGGATGTCTTTCCATAAGTTGTTGGCGCGGTTTGTAAATTTGGAAAATGAAAAATAGTAACAGAAATATGAAAGTATCCAGCAACAAATAAAACAAATTGATAGTGAAGAGCATGAACGAAAGAAACGCTAGAGGTTTATAAGCTATCAATACTTCCCGGCTAATCATAGTAAGGGAAAATATTTATTGATTGTAAACTTATAAAATTAATGCCGAACACTTAATATATTCGGAAGTCTAATCATTCAAGCTAAGAAACATTTGCAGTCGGCCGGCTACACGTTTATATATAAATCTTGTAACAGCTCGGTTTGCTTGTGAGGAAAGGTTGTGTAATTTTTAAGTCTGAATTTCACTTATCCTTCCTTCCGTTTGTTTGATATCAGGATATCTCGAGATGTTGACTTTCTATGAGAAAGACGTTACAGCCACTACATCCCGATATGGTTAGCAGTGAGACTTCGTACTTTATCCTCATACTAAATCCAACTATATTAGGATCTGCCATATTTTCGCCAACTAAATAGCCTAATGTTTGTGTCAATGAGCAGTTTTTGATTTCAGTAAGTTGTTTATACTGTTTTAAATTGTCACAACGATAAACTTAAATCCAGTACATTTGTTATGGATTCAGTGTTAACAATATTTGTTTTTTATTTTACTATTCAGTTTTGCAATACATTAATTTTCCATTTAGGTCGCATGTCCTTGGCGTACACTCGGATGTGATTTTATTGGCAAGTTATCTCTTTTACCCGGTCATAAGAAAACATGTATCATGAATCCAAGTTCTTTGCCTCCAGCCCTACGTGCTCATACCTCAGCTTCCTTAAATCAAGTTAGTAGCAATCAATCTCTAGATCTGAAATCATGTAAAAATAATCAACAGTCGTCAGTAAAAGTTAGTTTTGTGTTTCAGTCACAACTTCCTTTGAATACAATTACAACGACAGAGGTAAATATTGATGGCAATCAATGTTCCAATATTCATAGCGTTGAGTCAAGAAATGGCTCAAGTTCCTACGACGATGCTCAGGAAGAAAGTCTTATACTTGTCAGTGATGATGAAGCTAATTTACCGCCTGCTCCACCACCCAGTCTTTTGTTCCGACTATACCATAATTCTGATGCTAATAGTCGTGATTTATTATGTGATTTTATACAAAATAGTTCAAATACTACAACTCAGTCATCTAGTATTAACAATAAAAACAAGAATAACCCTAATAAACGAGGACGTAAAAAATAAGCTTAAATTAAATACTGTTCCGGTTGATTTCTCAAAGCATTTCAAATTAGTGTTCAAACTTTTGCCTAATATGTACATTCGTAAACACAAATATCTGGAATGTTTTCTTTTAAATGTTGTTTAAAAGACATTAATTGTTGTTTCGGAATGTGTATTTCATACTCATTCTTTCATTAAATTCAAACATACCGGTGAACATTACGTTGGTCACTCAGTTGCATTGCACTCAGCCGAAATCCTGACATCGCTCAGTCTGTGGCAAAACTAATTACAAGCGATGCCAAAAAGGTGCATAATTACGCATTAGTTTTAGCGTGCTTTCCGCTATTTGTGAACATGGGTTCCCCAGTAGGTTAAACCGAGTGAACTGCTATGTTTTCTTTTGAGAATGTTTGGTGCGTGGTCTGCGAAGTCCGAAGAGGTAGTCAGTTATCTTGTGGTACCACATTAGCTTTAAGTGGACATTTACTTTCTGTTTAAGTTCTAAGAATCTATCGTAAATCAGCCCAATAGGGTTAGCATTGATAAAATCTCATTCCACCGTTGTTTGCTTCTCTTGATGAACATTTTGTGGGCTGTTTTGATGTGCAATGTTGACTGCTAAAGTCAATACGTATGTACGCCGAACCCTAGGTATTACTTATATTATAATCAAAGATAAATGGTGGCTAGTAGTTGAATCCATGAAACACGTGTCATCCAATTTGGGGCTCGTCAGCTGGATGAACCTTCATCACAGAATTGATGTCCACTCTGGGACTGGAACTCAGTACCGTTCGCTTCAAACGTCATCGCGTTATCCACTTAGCTACTGAGTCCTAATAGCCACTTGCTTGTGCAATGGGGTGAAGTTTAAATTCACTTGGTATTGTTTGTTTGAATCTTCCCATTGACGTTTAGGACTGCAATTGATCAGTCTCTTATTGGCATGTGTGCGTGTTTCCTCCATATAGCCTTAATTCACAAGCATTATATGCAAAGATGGATAGTGGTTAGTAGTGGAACAGGCGTTATGGACTCAATCTCTTTCTAGTTTCCTCAATTGGCGTCTGAGCAATTTGTTTCTAGTATCTTGCGTAGATAGTCGTTTAATGGTGGTGTTAATAGTTCTTCAAGTTTCGTCTCCGTGCATTTGAATTTTTCTAACGTTGGTATTGAAGAGTCTGACTTGGGTAATAGTTCTTAAAAGTTCAAGATGTTCTCATATTGTAGGTATGATGTCTTTGCTTTTCCAATTACTATCTTCACATCTGCATCGGATTGTTTTTGTTTATCGATGATCATGCCCAAGAATAGTCCTTTCACCAGGTGTGATTTGGTTGGTGCTCATTGAGTTGTATCTCAAGGCCTTTCTTTTTCCGCTGATTGAGACTTACTACTGAAGAAACCTCTGCGACACTGACTGTACGTCTTGCTACGTGTGAGGTAACCGGACGAATTCCGAATAATCCAGCTGTGCTTAAAGGATGATGTGTAGGTCATGAGTATATTCGCAACAAGTTACGAATGTTGGTGTTAGTCAACAACTCCTAGTAAACCTTTTAATGGAGTTGTGAACGTATAATGAGACGACAGAAGAATCTTTGTTACACACCCAGCCACCGAATTTATTAGCACATTATGCCCATTATTATGAGTGGAGACTAAGTTAAGACATGGGATTGGCCTACGGTCTGTGCTACATGGGGGGACATAGACCTACTAGATAAGATGTACAGGACGGTCGTAATCAATTGTAAGGAAACTTAGTATAGCATGGTTGCGACTTATGACAGGCAAATATTACATTCCTTACCTTTATTTACTTAATAAAAAGCATATTTGTTATGATTTGTTTATTCGCTTGAATGCTATTACTGATGCGTCTTACTCAACGAACGAAGGATCAGTGACTCGATAGCTATTCTGGTTCGTTGTCCCCCAACTCTGCTAACTCGATCAAGAAGTCTGGGTAAGGTGTAGAAGTGTATTCTGCAGACAAACAGCAGCTAACAAGTCAAGTCAAACACACAACTCACGCGTATTTATATAATATTTACAATCGATATTGTCATAGAAAAATTTTAAACACATTTAATCGATAGTTCATCAATTGACCTATTTGCACATCTAATTGATAGGTTCATAAACTGACTGCTATACAAACATTTAATCAATAAGTTGATCGATAGGATAAAATTTAAAAATATGAGTTTGGGGATCTATCATCCCCAACACTCCTCCCCTTTTTAATAGCGGGCTTTCCTGGGGTCAACCTGCATCTTGACTGTAGCTCGCCGTTCTCGGATAGGCCACCGTCTGGGACGTGTTTCAGCTTGTTGTTGAGGTTTTTCTTGTGGTGGGGTTGCCGGTAAGTTGAATGTGTCTAACAGAATGTCAAGAGGAATATTTACTTTGGTTGATGGGCGGTCTGGGGCTAACCGTTTGCGTAACTGATTACGATGGCGTTGCCATCTGTCACTGCCTACCTCAACTTCGTACATGACTCGGCCAACTCTCCTGACCACTCGCGCTTCTGTCCATGGACTATGGGTCGGTCTGTAATCACGGGCAAACACAGGACATCCCACTTCGTACGTGGATCGCTTTTCAAACTTTGTCCGTTCTGGTTTCGGTGCGTTACTTGGATGCATCAGGCTGTGGATCGTCTTCAGTCTTCTTCCCATTAGGATCTCTGCTGGGGACTTTCGCTCCGGCAACGTCTCACTTGGTGTTGTTCGATACACATATAAGAAATTTTGTAACGCGTCTGCTTGCGTCCTCTCCCCTTTTGTCTTAGCCAAGGCTCTTTTAAACGTATCCACAAACCTTTCTGCTTGCCCATTCGACTGCGCGTGGTATGGTGGCGAGCGTAAGTGCTTTATGGCTAGTCATTCACAGAATGACTGGAATTGGCTGGAGGTGAATTGTTGTCAGATACAATGGCATCTGGTATACCATTTCGGGAGAATATGTCTGTGAGGATTTGTATTGTTTTAGTCGTCGTTGGCGGTATGATAGGGTTGATTTCAGGCCATTTCGAAAGGGCGTCGACTACAACTAGATACATTGTTCCGTTAATCGGGCCTGCAAAGTCGACGTGTATCCTGGGCCAAGGATGATCAGGTTGTGGCCATGAAACTGGTGGAACTTTGGCGTTCACTTTTGCTGCTTGCTGACACGGTGTGTGGTCCTCTGTCAATAGGGAGGTAATAACTGCATCTTCGCCGGCCGTATGGCGTTCGCTGGTTGACAACTCCGTCATTAGGTTTTCCGTACATGCTTCCAAGTCATGTGGTTGTTGTCGAAGTTGGGGTTGTGATACCAGGTTGCATATGGTATTCAACGGGACATCAGCTAAATTTAAGTGATCGAACCAATCTAACCCAAGCAAATTTAGATCAGCTGGTGTTATGTAGCATACCCCAACAAATGCCAAATCACGGAAAGTAACTGTACATTCCATTTGTCCAAGCAGGTGAAGGTAATTACCACACGCAGTACGAGGCTTTTGCGTTGTACGCTGCAAGTTTGGGCTGCCCATTTCGGTCCAAGTCTTATGAGAAAGGATAGTGACATCTGATGCTGTATCTATTTGCAATCTAGATGAATGCCCATTAATGTTATCAGTGATAAATTGTCTCTCACCTGTTGATGAGCTTTGACACGAAAATACTAGGCTCAATGAATTGGTGTGGGATGTAGGAAGGATCTTTTTGTTACTCGTGGATTGACTTAGATTCTTCTTCCTCAGACAAAACTCATCCTTATGACGGATAATTTTAAACTTCTTGCATCTATGTTGCCTAAATGGGCATTGTCAAACGTAGTGCCATGCACCTCATTGCCAGCAAGGAGCAGGAGGAGTTGCTGTAGTTTGTCGTCTCGGGCTGCAGTGAGATGGACTGGATGAAGCGGGGACGTGTTTGTTTTTGTAAGGTATTTGTTGCACCGCTCGTACTTCAGATCGGTTAGACCCACCACTCTGGACCATAGAAGTGTCTCGTTGCAGATTAATGAGACGCTGATATTCATTAGCTATATCACTCAGGGTGAGTTTCGGCTCTTGGTCCAAACGACTCAGTAGTCTTGTTCGTAAGTCACTAAACTTTTGGTGCTGCAGGCTGCAAATAAGTATCAGGGTTTTAAACTGATCTTCAGTCAAGGACTTTAACCGGAAGCGTTCGCATTCACGGTTGACGACGCCTACATGCGTAAGAAAATCATCATCTTCGTTCATAGTTAGCTTCAAGCAACGATAACGAGTATTAAACAGTGACGAATTATCGCCAAAATGTTGGCTTAATGTTTGAACTGTGTCTTCAAATGATCGATCACGTGGGTTCAACGGCAGGATCAGATTACAATACTTGTCCAGCTCATTTGCACCCAGTTTACGAAGTAGCAGCCGCACTTTCCAAGCATCATCTTGGTTGGCGAAATCAAATTTAAATAGATCTTCATAACGCCTGAACCACATCTCGAAAGTAACATTAGCATCAGGATCGTAATGAAATTCAGCTATGCTATTTGCGATGCCATCAACCGATGGTGCTGTGGTCGAACTAGACGTGCTTGGTTGTAAAGGAGGCGTAATCTTGGTCTCCATCAACATTTGCATCAATTTCATCTGCTGCTCAAGTAACAGTTCAAGTTTCGCAGGGTCCATAATTCAAAAACCACCGTCGCCAATTTGTTATGATTTGTTTATTCGCTTGAATGCTATTACTGATGCGTCTTACTCAACGAACGAAGGATCAGTGACTCGATAGCTATTCTGGTTCGTTGTCCCCCAACTCTGCTAACTCGATCAAGAAGTCTGGGTAAGGTGTAGAAGTGTATTCTGCAGACAAACAGCAGCTAACAAGTCAAGTCAAACACACAACTCACGCGTATTTATATAATATTTACAATCGATATTGTCATAGAAAAATTTTAAACACATTTAATCGATAGTTCATCAATTGACCTATTTGCACATCTAATTGATAGGTTCATAAACTGACTGCTATACAAACATTTAATCAATAAGTTGATCGATAGGATAAAATTTAAAAATATGAGTTTGGGGATCTATCATCCCCAACACTCCTCCCCTTTTTAATAGCGGACTTTCCTGGGGTCAACCTGCATCTTGACTGTAGCTCGCCGTTCTCGGATAGGCCACCGTCTGGGACGTGTTTCAGCTTGTTGTTGAGGTTTTTCTTGTGGTGGGGT